AAAATATCAACGCAATTAATTGATAATTCATTTCCAGGTGTTAGCTGGAACAGAATGATATGTCCCAAGTGGCCACTGGCAGAGCTCTCTCTTCTGGAGGTGGAGAACTGCCCTTGCTTGCAGATCTCCTTCTAATCTAGAAAAAATTACCTACCAGCTCCAATAGACTGTAGGATGGTTTAGGCATTCAGTAACACTGAACTATGGTTTGGCACTATGAGATTAAGTCATTTTGGAGCTGTTGTCTCTTCCCCTCAGGTGTGTTGATACCCTTCTTCCTGTCCTGCTTTAAGGTAAACTGCCATTTTACCAAAGCTGGGAACTGTGGTTTGTGCTTGCCTGGCTAAGCAAAGTTGCAACCCAGGATGAAACTAGTTAATGCTTTCTAATTCTGATCAAGTGGGCCCTTTTTTGCGGCAATAAATCTGTTAATTTTTAAAGTGTCGCAAGGAACTTGTTTTGCATGCATCAGCTTTAAAACAAAAAAAAGGAAGTGCTTCACATAGTTCAGAATTAACCTGTGGAATTCATTAACATAAACAGTGTTCAGAAAGAATTAGATAAATAAGGTAGGTGTAATGAATGAGGAATCCATGCTGACAGCCATAAGTACAGTCTCCCTTTTCAGAGGTAGTAAATCTGACCGTTGCTCTTACTTTTTATTATGCAATGGGGGGGGACGACTTCAATTTTTCCCATCTGCAAAGTGAGAGTTCCCAAATCTCTCGATGCACTAGAGATCTTACATGTGCCCAGGTCAATCTATTATACCAGTTCTGCATTCTTCCTTTTGATTTTACCACAGTCCCATCACCTCTGTCATTATTTCCAATAAGACAAGCTTGTGCAGTGGTACCTCAGTTGTTGAACGTATTCTGTTCCGGAAGACCGTTCAACTTCTGAAACATTCGAAAACTGAGACACAATGGGCGGTCTGCAAAGTCAATGGAGAAAATTGAAAAAAACTCAGCAGAAGCCATTCGAGTTCTGAGGCGCGTTCGAAAACAGAAGCATTTATTTCTGGGTTTTGAGCATTCGAAAACTGAAACATTCGGCTTCTGAGATGCTCGACAACCAAGGTACCACTGCACTTGAAGTAGTATTGAACAGTCTCTTTAGTGGACACCCTTTTCAATGTTATTTTTCTTACCTGGCTGCTAAGACTTCACAGATTGTCAAGGCAACAGCCATAAAAATCCATGGCTCATCCACATATACAATTTAAGCAGAGATACAGCTGACTGGTTCATTACATATGTGGGAGATAAGCTTTCAGTATTTTACAGATCAGTCTAAACAATAAAAGCAAGATGAGAGAAACATCCCTATGCAGTGTATTTTATAGGATATAGTTTATTTCTGTAAAAGCCCCCCCCCCCGGGTTTCTTCTTCCAGACCGTGGCCCAGGGCTCAGACATCTTAACTAGCTTCTCATCTGATTAAAAAAAAAAAAAGGTGGCTGCAAGGTCACCTTGGCTTTTGCATTCTTCATTGCTGCTTGACAAAATGATAGCATCATATAAGTTCATGACCGTGCCTCCGAGCTCTGGCAATCAGTATGACATTGCTCTTGTTTTTATTACATTGTTTATCTACATGTTACTCTGAGACAGCCAACACCATTGCAGTAGGTCCTATTTAATTGGATAATAAGGATTCCAAAATACAGTTTAACATCTCTCTCATAGTGACAGCAAATGAAAATTTGAGAATTGGTGGAAGTTTTACCAGTATCTCTGAATTAGCATTTCTTTCTACTTTCATCAAACTGAGTTTTGAATGGGAAAGAAGGATCCTAGGAAATCCATTGTGACTATGTTTAGCAACATTTCGTAGAATCACAGAATTGTAGAGTTGGAAGAGTCCCTGAGGATCATCTAGTCCAACCGACTGCAATACAGGAATAGGCAGCTGTCCCATATGGGGATCAGTCTTTTGCAACCTTGGCATTATCAGCACCACGCTCTAGCCCAGAGCTTTCCAAACTTTTCATGTTGGTGACACATGCATCATTTCGTGACACAGTAATGTCATGTTTTAGTAGCAAACTGGAGGTTAAGATAACCCCTTTCCAGCCCCAGGAGGAGAGTGGGGAGCATTCGCGTGACACACCTACACACTGCAGTCGACATACTAATATGTTGCAACACACAGTTTGAAAAGCTCTGCTCTAGCCAGCTGAGCTATCCAGGAAAAACTTTCTTTCCTATTCAGTCAGAACACAACAGTGCTTTTTGCAACTCTTGACAGATCCAAGCCCAGTTGGTCTTCAAGAATTAGTTCTTTCATACCTTACATAGCATTATGTGTGGCTTGTCCACTGCATGTTTTCCCAGTTAACGTGATAAGAAATGAACAGGAAATACATGTCTGTGAACGTGTGGCAGATTAGCACCGAAAAGCAGCTTGCCTATGAAGAAAAAAGCCAAGTAAAGGGGTGTCTGTATAAGGATAGAGGAGTATAAAATTATGCTTAGTGTGGAGAAGGTAAATAGACAGAAGACATTTCCCCCTCTCTTACATGTAATACTGGGTCCATCCAGTGAAAGTGAATGGGAAGAGATTCCAGATAGATGAAAGAAAGTACTTCTCCCCACAGTTCATAGTTAGTCTGTGGAATTCTACAAGACGTAGCGATGCCCGCCCAGCTGGGCGGCTTTAAAAGAAGATTAGGCACACTCATCAGTGGCTACATTCTGCTTCCACTGTCAGAGATATGATGCTTCTCAACACCAGCCGCTGGGAATCACAAGTGAGGAGAATGCTATTGTACTCAGGCCCTCCTTCCAGGCTTCCCACAGGCATCTGGTTGGCCGTTGTGAGAATAGGATGCTGGTTGAGATGGGCCTTTGGTCTGATCCAGCAGGGCTCTTAAGTCAGGATTAGCTCCTTGGGTCCTATCTTCCACATGCTGAAGCGACTTACCTGAAACGCATTGCATGGATTTTCCAGGAGACACATGGTTGACAAGTAGCAAACTTGTTTGGCCCATAGAGGGTGAATTGGATCTTATTCTCCCTTTCTGCAATAGATCAAATTGCATTTATATAGCTGGTCTCCCTCTCCACACCCTGGCACTGAGCAGTTGATTTCCAATACCCAATCACAGCTGAAGTGGGATTCCAGCTCCTCAGGAGCAATTATCCGTCAATCTGTAGCAATTTACGCCTCATTAGGAAAGCCCAAATTAAGCCTCCTTACATGCTGGCCTACCTATATCCCATAAGAATATGAAGACCCATGCCCTATAGCTGTTCTCACTTGAGGAGAGGGAGCGGGGAGCTAGAATCACTTGGAGAGAAAAAATCAGTGAATCTGTGTGAGCTAGGTGAAAATGTTCAAGGGGCTGGGCTATAGGCAGCAATCTAGTGAAGGTCGATAGCTGGGAACTGGGAGCCAGGACTGGAAGAGGAATCAGTCTCAGAGGGCAGGCCAGAAAACAGAAGTGGAAAGCAAGCCAAGAGTCGGAACCAAAGAACAAGACCAGAAATGCATGACATACTAGCTCAGGTAGATGTTGTTGCTCAAGCAAGTCTCAGCCACAGAGAGAAGTACTTTCTATACCTTCCTGACCAGGAAGAGCCAGCTTGGATGTGGGAAGCCAGGCCAGATCTGGAAGGTTCTTCCTTGGGAGGCTACAGTTATGGGGCTCGCCACATGGGACAGCAGTCAGCAGTTACTGACAACCAATACTCTTCAGTACTACCTTACATGTGGCTGGGCTTGCACAGCTGCAGCCAAGCCAATGTGATTCCTGGTAGGACATTTTGCAGAATGTTTCCTGTGCCAGTGACCCTTTGAAGCAGTCACGTTTTCCACAGACACAGCAACACGAGTCCCCGGAAAGCTTGATGTTATAGTTAAAACTAGTGAATGTCACCACAGTTAGGGACTCTTCTTAGCTTCTCCTTGGCTCAGGCTACACCCAAGGATAAATCATTTTGTGAAAACTGTAACCTGGCTCACTGACTCTTAACATTTCAGGAGCTTCTCTGAACCACTGCTTTCCTGTGACGAGCCTTGTTCTCCAGAGCAGGAAGCAATGGCAGGAAGATGTCATTTCTTTGAGGTGCTGGTGGTAGCAGTGCCTTTATTTCTGTGTCCTTTCATCTCCTTACCCCCCACCCCGGGCCACAGTCTAAAGGGCACAGAGCAGTCTAAGCAGTCACTCAGCAGCACAGCCAGTTCTCCACCCGTACAATGACCACACTCCTCTGCCTTGCTTCTGCTGGGAGCAATCTAGATGCCTCTCAAACATTCTTGCTGGACATGATGACACCAGCAGGCTCACATAGATACAGAAATCTGCTTAAGAGGTCTACATTTAATCCTTCAACTAAGCCAGGCCTGTACTGCTGTCTCCTTAAAAATCAAATTTAAGATTTGAGTTTTGCCATTAATTCTGTGGGGACAGGATTGCATTCCAAATTGCAATATCAGTTGCCTTGTCTCCAAAGTTCTCACGTGCAGAAGTCTGCTCACAGGATGATATTGCTAGTAGTAGAAGGTGTGGAGGCGATCCCTTATTTTCACTGCAGCCCCCATGCAGAAATCTGCTCTGAAAGGTTGGGGAATCCTCCAGAACAGCATGGGAAATGATGATGGATGTCAGCGAAGGTGGAAGCCTTGACAGGAGTGGAGTGCCTTCCTCGTGTGGAAGGAGCCCTTCTGTTTGTGGAAGAGCAACTATCTAGAAGAGAGACAAACCATTATCTCTTAGAAAAAAAGCATTAAATCACCTGTTTTCCATCTTCGGTTCACCTGATGCCAGTAAACAATCTAACCACTGTATTTTGCACCAACCAAAGCTTTCAAACAGTTTTCAGAGACAAACCCACCTACTTTGCATTGAATCATTCTAAATGGAGTGTCACCACTCTATGGGTATCTGGACAGGCCCTCTCTGTTTAGAACAGGCTGTTTTTTTCTAGATCCTCCCTCCCCCATGTCGAGTCTTTCAGCGAATAGGTGATTGTCCCCCCCCCTCTTTTCTTCCGCAGCACTTACCAAAAGTACATTTCCTTCAGATTCAAATGCAACTAAAAAAGGTGCTATCAATATGACGGTCAATGGAACAAAACTGCGAACACAAGAAGAGAGGTACTAAAGCAACTTCGGAATGTGCAGATACACTGTTGGAAACTCAGCTCTGCGGCACTTTTCCCCCAGTTCTGACTGCAGCTGTATTTACCAAAGCAGTGCAGATTCCTTGGTCCAACAGATGCCAAATAGTGACTGAGAACAACGTCTCAATTGTGGGTCTAAAATGAAGCAAGTGAAACCTGAATGTAAAATGCCAAAGAATCTTGTGGTTTGAAGTGCTGTCCCCATTGCTTTGTTTCAGTCCATCCCAAACCAGCCACCTTTGCCTTTTCGTGAGTTTTGTTACATACCTTAATATGTTTTAAGTTCAAAGATGCGATTGATTTTTGGTTGAACAATATATAGATAAAACATAAGCACAATCAGGTAATGGTTAATAGAAATTGCTTGGTGTGTAAATAAGATGTTTTATAACATAATTTAGAGCTGTACAGGCATAATAGCATTTTACAACAAAGGTGCCTCAATTGATGCATTATGCAATGATTACATTATTGTGCTTAATAATAGAAATCATTTTTATCTGAAACAATGACCTGAATTTCCTCCACTTTGAGGAGAATTAAGATTACATGCTGCATTTCATTCTGTTTGGGACAACTATGTTTGTTGATCCAAGCTCAAGGGAGAGCGCAGCCTAACCTAAATTTCCCCAGAACTGGAGGAAATTCAGTTAACCACTTGTTATGAACCACTTCTGTAATTAAGCATAATAATAATTTTGTTTCCTAAACCTAAAATCTCCAATAATGTAATGAAATATTTTATATCCGACATGGCAGAAGAGAACCAGAGTCACAATATCTAATTTTGTGCTACAAATGTACAATGTCTTCCTGGAATTGAATAAACAGGTTGAGAACGAACCTTTGGCAGAGGAGGTTGGTTTATATGAGTACCCAACCTTCTTTTTTTTTTCTTCTTTTAATAAAAAGCAATTTCTAATAGTCACATCCTTCCCAATACTTCTTTATTAAGTTTTTTTGAAATGTCACCTTAACTCTGAAAATTACAGTGTACAATAATTTAGCCATATATTGTGGTCTCTATTGATGAAATCAGATATTCCCTTTCTTGATGTTTCTAATAAAACTTCCCCTTCCCCTTTACCTGCCTCTGTGATTCTTGGTTTATTGCCCATATCTTGGTTCTGATCTGTGAAATGCACTTGGTTTTAATGTTCAAATCTGAGTCCTTGTAAAAGTGCCTTGAGAGCCAGCACAGTAGCCTAGCGAGAGATTGCTCTAAAGATATGGACTGTATTACAGTTGTCTCACTAATGCCAGTGTTTTCTTTAGATAAGCAGCCCACTGTTCAAGACTTGGTTACATTACTAGCAATGATGCCAGCTTTCATTAGTGGCAATTATTGGGTTGTTGTGTGTCAAACCAGGAGTATTACTTTTAAACTTCGCTGTATGTGGATGGTTATAGTGCATGGATGTATACTTGCTGTCATGAAAAGAGGATCTTGCAATGACCTGTATCTCTAGGTCATAGAATTGTAGAACTCAAAGGGACCACCAGTGTCATCTAGTCCAACCCCCTGCAATGCAAGAAGAGTATTGCACTGGAGAGTTGCTGCCTGTCAGTGTAGACCATACAGAGCTAGATTGACTAGTGTTCTCACTTGGTAGAACACAGCTTCCTATGTTCCCTACATTTGCTTGTAGAATAAGATTCCCATTCATCAAGCTGAGGATTAACAAACTGGGCTTTTAAGTTTTATCTGCTAGATGCCTCTTCCTTCATTTTGAAACAGGGGTTACAAAAAGGGATCGGCTGATAAATCTAAGCATCTCTTCTCTCCCCCTCTCTCAACACACACACACACACAGAGAGAGAAGAGAGAGAGAGAGAGAGGAGAGAGAGAGAGAGAGAGTTTTATTCATGCACCCATCCATGGGGATGTGTCAGTCTCCCAAGCCTTTATGTGAACAGTGTGACTGTCTGTACTGACAGAGCCTTTGTGTGTGCAGCTGTGTGTGCAAAGGCTACAGGGCAGGCTACTTTATGCAGCCCTGCTCCCATGTTCGGTAAGACAGGAACATGAACACCTGAAGAAGCCCAGTGTCCATAGGCGCTGATTCCTAGGGGCTGAGTATTTTTCTTGTCCTGGAACCACTGGGCATCCTGCTCTGCTCCCACACAGCAGGGAGTGTTTACTGTATTACAGCAGCTGCAAAACTACCCAGGACATTTCAAGATGGATTCATTCTTTGTCTGCCAAACCCTGGTCTCAGAAGCCTCCTGAAATTTGGATACCAATTTCAGCTTCTGTCAAGAAGGCTGATGAATGGAGCGCATGTAGGTAAAAGTTTACCTTCAATCACATGCAAGCCAAGAGGAATACCTCAGAGATGAGCTTTGGAGAAAGGCACACACACCAAGCCTATCACATCAGCCATAAGAAGAACACCGCTACAAGCACTGCATATTAATGCTCTCACAAGTTCTCTTTCAGTGGTACTTCATGGGTAACTTTTCCACAACCCAGCAAAAGACTCCAAATATTCTCCAACCAAGTAATATGTACAAAAATGCATATACTAGGAAAGACTTACATAACACCAGGAGATTCGCCTATCCTTTGTTAAAACACATTGCTTAGTATTACATGAGACTTAAGAACCCGCAGAATCATAGAATTGTAGCTGGAAGGGACCACAAGGGTCATCTAGTCCAACCCCTGCAATGTTGGAATCTTTTGCTCAAAAGTGAGCTGAGAATGTCCCCAACCATATAACGGAAGCAAGAAAAGCGATGAGAAAAGTAGATACGTATCTTACTAAAACAAGGAGAAAAATACAAAGTTTGAGAAACTTAATATGTAAACAGAACGATCACAACAAAGTGCAGTTCTGATGGAATACAATTCTTGTCACTTATTCAAAGATGTGGAGATGGACAGTTTTTAAATAGTAAAAATGGCCGTATTTTAATTTGCATAGGTTTCAACATATTGGGGGTTATGGGTTTGTTTTGTTTTTATGATGTAGTTTGTTTTCTTTTTTTTATGTTGTAAACTGCCCAGAGATCTTTGAATGAAGGGTGCTATACAAATTAAGTACATACATACCGTATTTTTCCGTCTATAAGATGCCCCCATGTATAAGACACCCCCTATTTTTGCGGCAACAACCAATCGCAAGTTCACCCTTGGCACTATCCGTGTATAAGACACCCCCCTAATTTTTGACATTATTTTTTTAGGAAAAAGACATACTTATACATGAAAAAATACAGAACTTGGATCCAAAGGTGAGGTGCATGCAGAAAGCATTTCTGCTTGCACAAGAGTTGGCCCTTCATTTTTGGAAATTGGTCCTTCTTGCTTCAGCCTCCTTCACCATATGTCTTTGATTCCAGATGGCTCCCCAGCCCCCTGGAACATCAATGGGGGGTGGGGGCTGGAGAGGGAAGGGAAGGGAAGTCAAGAAGGCCCATTTCCATGAATGGAGGACTACTCCAAGCCAAGGTGCAGATGCACTGGCGTCAATGACCTTCCTCTGACCACTGCCTTACTCTTCCAATGTCAGACTCACAAATTATGAAATAAATACCTGTGTAGTAAAAGCTGGCTGTGAGACTGACAAAAAGGATGCTCTGTTCAAAGTTACTTTTATAAAGCTGTCGTGTCTGTGAACACACTTGCTGCTTTCTAACACTTGGGTTTTTTTAAAAGAGAATTTATTTATGGATATTAGTTGCATAAGGTCAAAAGTCTACTACTCTTCCTCTATAAATAGACTCATTCGCAGTATCACTTGCATACTGCCCCAGAACTTTGGAAGGGTATTGCTAGCTGCAATGATAGCGGTCATCAAAAATATATCTAAAAGGTAAAGGTAAAGGTAACCCTGCCCGTATGGGCCAGTCTTGACAGACTCTGGGGTTGTGCGCCCATCTCACTCAAGAGGCCGGGGGCCAGCGCTGTCCGGAGACACTTCCGGGTCACGTGGCCAGCGTGACAAAGCTGCATCTGGTGAGCCAGCGCAGCACACGGAAACGCCGTTTACCTTCCCTATTTATCTACTTGCACCCGGGGTGCTTTCGAACTGTTAGGTTGGCAGGCGCTGGGACCGAGCAACGGGAGCGCACCCCGCCGCGGGATTCGAACCGCAGACCTTTCGATCGGCAAGTCCTAGGCACTGAGGCTTTTACCCACAGCGCCACCCGCATCCCTAACTTGCAATAAAGACCCATGTTTCAGTCTTCTTCATAGCTTTTATTATACAGTGGTACCTCGGGTTAAGTACTTAATTCGTTCCGGAGGTCCGTTCTTAACCTGAAACTTTTCTTAACCTGAAGCACCACTTTAGCTAATGGGGCCTCCTGCCGCTGCTGGAGCACGATTTCTGTTCTTAACCTGAAGGAAAGTTCTAAACCTGAAGCACTATTTCTGGGTTAGCGGAGTCTGTAACCTGAAGCGTATGTAACCCGAGGTACCACTGTATTAGCACCGGAATTGCCAGCGCACAGTATTTAATCAGTCCTTGGCTGATTCTGATCAGGGATGCTGTGCTTGTGAGGGTCGCAAAGAATACAGCCCCTCTGCTTTCTCTCATATGGGCAATGAGATCAGTTTCCGAGGCTGATTTGCCATGGAGCTTGTTAAAACAACCACCCAGCAATTTCTAGTCGTGTCTTTGCAAGTGGATCTTGAAACTTCTTGTTATTTTCTAAAATAAAAAGCTACATTGTCAAAAGACTTAGCATTAGATCATGTGCTGATTAATTTTGAAGATCATCCCACGGGTGGACGTTAAGTATGTTGTTTGTTCCGATCTGCTGAGTGCTACAATTGTTTCCCCAGCCTTAAGCAAACTAGAGTGGAGGGCAAATGGAGCAACAATTTGAAAATAAAGTTGCACTGAACGAGGGATTGACAGAAGGAGGAGCTCTCCATCACCACCATCCCAATAGCCCTTTTCATAAATAGCAAAATCATTTTGAAGAAATACTCAAAGAATGCAGGGCTGGCTCCAGGGTTTTTCCAGGGTGGGTGGGAACATGGACAAGGTGTTCCGATCGAGTTCTCCTCTCCAAGGGCTCACTGCCCACTCACTATTCCTTTTCCTTTGTGCCCAGTCTGCACAAATGCCCAGAGAGAGAGAGAGAGAGAGAGAGAGAGAGAGCGCACTAAGGAAGCAGAGGTTGCTGTTCCAACTCCTCAGGAAGAAGAGGAACTGAGCCAGGAAAATGTGCCCTCCACCCCACTGAAGTGTGGGTCTCAGCAGGTGCCCTTCCCTGACATTGGCCTTGAAGCAATAACCATGGGTGCTATGCATGGCCTTAGGCATTTCATTATCTCCAAGAGACACCTGTATGTGTAGAAATATTTCAAACCTGTAACCCTTCACCCTGCAGGTAGGGATTCCATGTTTTGAATGCTTCCCATATCATGGGCTCCTTTGGGATGAAAACATAATAATAATAATAATAATAATAATAATAATAATAATAATAATAATAATAATAATTTATTCATTCATTCATACCCCGCCCATCTGGTTGGGTTTCCCCAGCCACTCTGGGTGGCTTCCAACAGAATATTAAAATACAATAGTCTATTAAATATTAAAATCTTCCCTAAACAGGGCTGCCTTCAGATGTCTTCTAAAAGTCTGGTAGTTGTTTTTCTCTTTGACATCTGGTGGGAGGGCGTTCCACAGGGCGGGTGCCACTACCGAGAAGGCCCTCTGCCTGGTTCCCTGTAACTTGGCTTCTCACAGCGAGGGAACCGCCAGAAGGCCCTCGGCACTGGACCTCAGTGTCCGGGCAGAACGATGGGGGTGGAGACGCTCCTTTGGGTATACAGGACCGAGGCCGTTTAGGGTTTTAAAGGTCAGCACCAACACCTTGAATTGTGCTCAGAAACGTACTGAAACTAACGAGCATAACAAAGAAGGGCATGTGCCCAGAAGTGCAATAGCCCTACCTTGCTCCATGATGTACAGACGTTCCACCACTTATGCAGTGGTTATATTCTGGGGCCTCATGTGCATAAGCAAAAATTGCGTAAGTGAGGAGCACCTTCTAAACACACCCTTAAACCCCCACCTCTGCCGCTGTCTCTCCAATCCAGACCAAAAATACTGTATCCAAAA